GAGTATGCCTACGTCCGGAAACTAAAATGTTTTTTTAAAGAATTGCTTAATTGGATGAAATAATGTTCATCAAAGCCAAAAGCTACTGCTACATACTCATTGAGGATAATTGTTAATATATGATTACCGGTCAACGATATCGGCCGGAAATTGCCGCGCAACACTAAAATGATTGAACTTAAATTTATTCAACATATTCTTCAAATTGCTGTCAAATCTATGATTGAGGTGTATTCACCATATTTCATTTTGGGTGAAAATAGGACTGGTAGTTGATTTTCTCACAATCCCCTGAGCAGACCTCCATTCAATTTGGCTTGGTCTTCCTTGCCCAGAGAGTAAGCAAGACTATGAAACGTAAGATCTACTCATATGATTGTGGGAAAATGCAACCACCAGTCCCCTTATGACCTCGAACGAAATAGGCTGGATACAGCTCATAGAGAATGGGACTCACACACACCGACAGTCCCAGCCTACTCACCTGACCGGTCGTCTGGTTGACAATGGCGGCTGGGTGCTGTGACAGGTTCATCTGGCCACAGATGCCGGCCTGCGTCGGCAACAAAGTCAAATGAGCCCCACTCTGGACGCCGGTCGGCCGAGGCAGAGCACTCTGTCTGGCGTCGTTGCTGCCTAATTCCTTCTCGGAGAGGCCAGTCGAGCCACGAGTCGCCAGAAGACCTGCCTCGTCAGACAAGGCATCGCCCTGCGCCGGTCTCGAGGCCGCCGCGAGGTTGTCGTGGATGCGGGTCAAGTTGACGTTTGGTCGTCGGCCGGTTGACGCCGTGAACACATCCGACGAGTGAGGAAGTCGTGTTGCCGTGGCGCCCGGAGAGGTGGGTCGTCCGCGCCGTGGCAGTAGAGGAGCCTGTGTGGCGTCGCTAGGGCCCATCAACAGGGGCAAGAGAGCTCCGCCGGCAGAAGATGATCCTGCCTCGGGACAGAGAAGGGCCAGAATGGACTGGGCACCGATGGCCTCCACGCATACGTGCTCCCCGGAAGCTGGGGCGAGTGGTTCAGAAGACCGGAACTCTTCAGCAGGACGTCTACTGCAAAGCTCGGCAGAGGCGTCAGTTGCCCGGGAAACCAGAGAAATGGACGAATCGTGTTGCGAGGCTGGCACGGCGACTGTCGAGGCGGGCTGGTCGCCGGTAGGCGAAAGGAGGCGGAAGGATGGAGTGCGAGGAGGTGGGGAAGTTTCGCTCTCTTGCGTCGACGCGATGAGTTGAAGCTCAGCAAGTTGGAGGAGACTGCGATGTTTGACGTCTCTGTTGGCGGAAAATGGAAAAGAAATGTAGGAAGATAAAAGCGACTAGAGAGTAAAATGCACGGCAATAAGTTAGAGAAGAGGGGGGGAAATGTCAAGGACAAAGAGTACTCGTGCAATGAGATAGAAAAGGAAATATAGCAAATTACAAATGAGGATTAAATAGGACAAAAGCTTTATAAGTAAGTGGGCAAGGAAAACAGATTCAAAGAGTAGAATAGGGAGAAAGAAAGCGGAAAAAGAAGACAACAGCAATAAGTCGAAAGGAAATTATAAAATAGAATATAGGTACTAAAAAAGAAAAATAAACGTTGATGCAACACAACGAAACGAAATTCAAATAAATGGGAGAATTAATTTAAACTGATGATTATGAGGATAATTGGGATCAGAAATAATGCAAAATATACGTTACAGACAAGAGTAAAAATCAAAAGTATAATTAATATGAGCAAATATAAATTACAAATGTACTGGTAAATGGAAGATAAACAGAAGCGCAGCTCAAAGGAATTTTAAAAGATGAACCCTATAAAATGCTTCTCATAAGAGGAAGAGCTGGCAGAAATATACTTAATAGAGCGTTATCAACAAAAATGATTTATAATTCATTGCAACAGATAGCAGCTGACAAAATTTAAAAAAAATAAGGAGCAAAGATAAAATATGATAAGCCTGTATATGTGCACCAACAAACGGTGAAGCACAAAAGGCAGGACTTATGGATGCATTAATCATTTTGGAACTCCTCATCGGCTAAATATAGTCCGAAATTTGTAAAAAAAAATGGAGATAAATATTTAAAAGATTAAATAATGGGATAAGAAAACGCGAGCTCGAAGTTATGCGGTACGACCATAAGCCACAGGAAAGAACCAAGTCAAGACAAAGAGCCTTTGCCGCAATAATCCAAGGACCAGAGCTTCGATTACAGGAAAAGCATAATGATGCCTCGGCCTACTATATATATATATAAATATATACTTAATTAAATATGAGTAATAGCTTAATAATCAATCACGAATTATTTTTATAATACTCCGGGTCTCTATGCGAATATGTACTGGTCATTAGAGCAATAATTTGTAATAATAATCATTATGTAAAATACATTAGAGCAGAATATATGTAAATTAACAAGATAACATTTGGCATAAGTCAA